TCAGCTATGAACGAGCGGCCGATAAGTGACTTTTGGTAGAGGACGAAGCTGAAAATACATGGAGAACACCTCAAACGAAACATCTCGATGACAGTCCCACAGCCTCATTGTACGAGTTCTCCGGACTTGCAGGCGACTCGACACCCTCCGGCCTCTATGCAATCCCTCCATAAATCGTTTCTTTGCATCCTCTACTATTAGTGCCATCTGAAATTAAGAAAAAAGAAACGAAAACAGAAGTAATAAAATGGAAAATGGCTTTCAAGAACCCTGTCCATGAAATTGGGACTGCGGTGAGCATGCAGGACGTAATGCAGGACGAGTTTTTGCACCGAATCGACTGCATCGCTGTTGAAGAACTTGAGAGGCGGCCATTCCGACTGCCATGCGAAGTGGGCTGCTGCTGACATATTGTTTTGGAAAAACGTATCCACGTAAAGCAGAACAGCTCGTAAGCTCGCAAAAGAGTCGACAAGCTTGGCTCCCATAGACGAGCATAGTGAATCGCCTGCAACACTCCAGGCAACGCTATGTACGCACGCAGTTCCTAATCGTGGTTGCAATGGTTGCAGTAATCACTGGACTCTCACCTCTTTATCTCGCCGTTTCGAGAGACAAGTGATAGATCCTCTGCAAATGTGGACCACGATGCCAAATGCACGAAGGCATTTTGCGGACTTCTTGATCGCGGGAAATGTCTTAATCCTAGTGAAAGCGTCACTTACCCGTCAGTTACCGCGCTCCAATGCGAGGTTGTGCAATGGCGCGAGCTACGAGCATTTGAAATTGGTGTCTGCGCCGCAATGGGGATAGAGGAACTCAGCCAGTGTGGAAATGTTGCGGATTGCAAGGGAGTTGTCTGAAACGGAAACGAGCTCCTTTTCTATATTTGAAGACGTCACCTGCGAAAGCCACGAGAAACCGACTTGGCGTCACATCGAAGTGCAAACGGAGGTTTGTTGTATTGGTTTTGTGTGAGTATGGTTTCGATTACTTTTTGCTTCGCTATTACCACGAACATTTCGCGTTTTCGTTAGCTGACAAGTGCCACTTCGTTGGTAATTCCTATGACATTTTGAGGACTCATTCAATTACTCGTTCCCGCCATCATATGCTGTGGATTCAGCTTCCGAAATAGAACTCCCTCATAAAAAAGGCAATCCAGGGAACATTCTCCACCTTACACAGCTTATTAGTACTTCAAGTAATATTTGGTTTCCTAGGATTTCCCTCTCCACCAATAGTAGCCTTCAGAAGAGATATTCTGAAGTATAAGGGTAGAAGCACTAAGATATGGTACGTGAAAACGAGACCTTTACTCCGCTATCAACCACTTTTTGTTTCCCTTTTTTATGATCACCGTAACTTCGCCGTATGCTTTTGTCATGCTCAGAACCAACAGGGGTCATGTACTGTGCCTTTTTGCTTCTTTCGCTGCTGAGTTAGTCAGCACCCTGATGTTCGTAAATTAACCCTTGTGGCTTCCTCACGCCCCCCCCCCCCCCAGGGGCAAAAACAGGCGCCTCCTGCCCTCAAAGCATTTCCAGAAACGGCCATCAGTAGAAGCCCTGAGAATGATTCAGTCTGCGGTCGAGGTCCAGACAAACAGGTCCTCATTCTTCTTGAATGCCGTTTCTACTTTGCATTAGCGTACCGCCCAGCGCTTGGCATTTTCTGCGCGACCGCTCCACGATAGTTTTGCCTTCAAGCTCCAGAACACCTCTCAAAACTTCTGTATAGTTGGCGTACGCTAGGATCGATACATACACTGTTCCTAGCCTGGTGCCGCTGACGCGTGCCTCGAAACGCTAAAACGATGTGCGTTCGCTGACGCAAGATACGAGCCGTCGCCAACACTCAGGCTCCTCAAAGCTGGAAGACGATTGCACTGGTGGATAGCTGTTCAGTGTGACGAACTCTGGATGGACGAATCTTCAGGAAGCCGAAAACAAAGCAAAAAAAAAAAAATAGGGAGAACACTGTGAGGACCCCAGAGCCTCACTATACAATTTGTCTGGACGTACTCGTTCAATGCCAGAAAAACTATATACTGCCGCCTCTGGCCCACTAAGCCATTCTTCGCGTCATCCTATGCTAGTACCATCTAAAACTGAAGAGGAAATCGTAAAAAAACGGTATAGTCACTCAACTAGTTACAGAAAAGAGCCTTGGACCTTCGCTGAGCTGTACAACCAAGGGAGGGGGGGGGGCGTCAGAACTTTCAGGACCACAGCGCCCTCGTTACTTATGGGATAGTGGGAAGCTGTAAAAAAGGGACAATCTTAGCGACTGCGGGTCAGCGCCCTTGACCAAAGGAATGACGTCTACTAAGTGCTTGAGCGCAAGCACTGTTTTGAAATGAGTGCAGTTGTATCAGAAGTAGGTGGTAATCTTTTTGAGGAGGAATAGTTTTTTTTTTGAAAATAGGAAATTTTAAATTTTTGATTTCTGACTTTTCGGAATATTCCTAGGCACTGTAGAGAAGTATTTCTTAATAGCATAATTCGAGCCACCAATATTATATGCTACTCGAGAAGCGCACAACTAACCTTGGGAATTTCAGATTCCACTCCTCATTTTGCCTTCTTGATTTCCTGATAGTTGATCATTCATGCAAAAGTGTCTACAACAACAACAAAAGTATTCCGGTGCTTAAATGTGTTATCATTGATGTATTAAGATTTCATGCGATCATGTGGCGCTTTCTACCGAAGTTTCGATTTCTTCTGGTGGAGAAGAGGATTCGAAAGAGTGTCCTGATCTGGTCTTCTGGCGTGCAGTTGCAACACAACGAGCAAGCGAGCTCGATAATATACGGGAAGAGATTAGGAAGGTAAAGTTTTGTAATTCCCGCAATAATAGTGTTTTTTCTTCTCTCAAAGGCTAGAACATAGGAGCATTATTTTTGCTTATTCATATAGAGCAGGTTTATGTGCTGTTTGGTTTAGCGCGGGGGGTGGGGGGAGGAGGGCATTTCGCTAGTCTCCTTCTCAGTAGTTCGTGTTTAACAAACAGCTCCCACTTTGGGAAGACCTGTGGATTTTCTTGAGAATTGCTCACTGGTACTATGGTTACAGGAGTTTACCGGGCTTTCAAGATACAATTTTTGCTGAAAACTATTGGGTGCTCCGACCGAGCCTAACTGCTCCAAGAATGGTTCATAGCTAATAGAAAATATAAAATTCCGACGACACGCAGCCAATATTCTGACGTTCACGTACCGCACTCATAGACCGCACATGCCATCCTGGAAGACGGGGGG